TGTGTAAATAATCATTCTGTACATTCGATAATTTTTAACCCTACAACTGTTTACAACTTGCATAGTTCCCATTTCTGTATAGCTGTATATCTCAGATTCTGTAAAGTTATTTATTTCATATTCTGTATAGTTTTTCATATTTATATCCTGTTCATAGCTTGTACATAGCTTGTACTCACTACAGCCTTTACATACTTAGTTATAGAATATTCACAACATACTTCATACCGTGTACATTATAACATTCCATAATAGACCCATTTCTGTAATATACTCACATATCTATATTATTGCTAATATATATTGTAATATATCTATATCACTAAAGCACTTCTGGATGGATGCAAACTGCATTTCGTTGCCTTGTACCTGTGCATGTGCAATGACAATAAAGTTGAATTCTATTCTATTCTATTCTATTCTATTCTATTAAAAGAGGCCCACAAACCAGAACAGCACAGGCTCTCTTAAAAGAGCAACGTGCTAAAACAAAGTCCAATTCACTAGACAAATAAGAGGAATCAATAATACCTCATTGAATTCAGCCATAAATGAACACAGCCACTGTTTACTGAGTGCAGCCAATTCTAAAATTTACACCTTGACTGTCACAAAGTGCACTGTAATATATCCAGTTTCATACAATTTATTTAATTAATTGTTTTTTCATTTTCCTCGGTGCATCAAGCTTCTGTAGGACTGGTGGTCACTTATGGACCAAAAAAACAAATCATTTCAAGTACGGAAGCCGGTGCTGCTGAGCTCAGACCTGATTCTTATTCTTTTTAAACTGCAAAGTTCAGCTGAGGATTTTCCTGAATTACTGCCAGATTCACAGTCGTGGAGAAACTCAGAAATTTAAATTTCACACGGTCACATTATTTATATATATATTTTTATATATTTTATTCTCTGACTTTGCTCCGGGTGTCTCATTTCTCTGCTGAAGCTATGATCTCTGTGAGTGGACCTTCCAGTAGCTTAGCACAGCGGCAATGCAGAGCATCGCAGAGGCGCTCATGTAGGCCTCTAGATGGCGCTGTAGGATAAACAAATAAAAAGACACCAAGCGGATGGAAACCGTTTAAAAAACATAAAACGGAGACAAGTGTTTTAGTACCGACCAAAGATGTGGACATGCTAAAGTGACTGCTGTGATTATCGTGATCAAAGAACTTTCACTGTTTTGTTTTTTCTGCAGATGCAGAATGAGTAACTAAATGATTACAAACTGTCTTAAACATTATAGCGTAATTACATCATTTTATAACTTGTTCCAGCTGTGCTTGATGTGGAGGTCCTGGCCTTTTTCTCTGGGAATTGGCTGCTGCCACGAACTGCCTTCCTCCTCCGGAGCGTTGACTTTATTCCCTGCCTATCAACAGTAAAGACCTACTTTAGATGCTGTGGGAGCCTGAGGATTAAAAAAGAATGTTTTTTTGTTTTTTGTAATCCCATCGTTTGCCAAGAGCATCTTCCCACACAACATCCTGACATTGTGTTCTTGCAATGCGCAGCCAATAAGTAAATAAAAAGAAACAAGACCATATGCTGCAGGAATATGCCCACCTTCACTCCCACTAAGCCTTCATCCTATTCCCTGATCTTCAGTGTGGCTCTAGATAACTCTGAGCATATCATCAGGCAGCAGTGTCCTTTCCTTAATCCAGATAATGAATGGTTCCTAGTAGATGCTGCACAGGGAAGGTTTGTGGACAGATTTCTAATAATACACCTTAATTCAAATGCACTAAATCTGGTAAAAGTGCAAAAAGAAAATGTGAAACCAAAAAAGGAGCGCAGGATGTGGTAGGTGTTATAAAAAGCAAAAAAGGAACGCAAACCTTATGGGAGTGATAGCATGCATGCTGCTCTGTATTGACAGCTTAGGTTTGTGCCTTTTTATACAACGTTTATGTTCCCCCTTTGTGTTGCATGTATTTGTCATTGTAACTCTGTCCTGAGGTGGGAAAAACCATGAAAACATGCCCACATATATTCTTCATTCCCCTGGTGTCCTCATTATTAGTTATACAACACATGCCAAAGGAGATTACTCTCACTCATATAATCCCTAAACGAAGAAAAAAACATCTTTTAGCTTTTGTGGGAGGACAGCACTCTCAGATCAAAGCCTTCTTTTTCAGGCTGCCTTGTTTCTGGCAGCCTGAGGCCTCAGTCTTGAGGGGTTCACCCTGGATGACCACAACACTAAAGTTTATTGGCCGACTCAGTTCAGGAAATGTCTGGTTTGTCCTTCCTCACAAAAGCTGCTGGAAACACGGGATTTATCAGTTCCGTTGCCACAGTGATGCTATCGCGGCACAGCTAAGGGACCTGCAGTTCTCTGCTCTCTTTGCTGTGTGCAAAGTGTCAGTGACAGAGTGAAGGCTGCATCCATCTGTGCTCCCTGCCACTATAAATCAGGGGAGGATAATGAAGCTGCCCTGCTGTCCCGCGCCACTCTCCCACACAGTGATCACAGTACAGTGTGGTGAACAGAAAGCCCGCAGCCTTTCTTTTTTTCCCCTTTTCCCCCCCCTCCTAATCTAGAAACAGAAGTGTCACTTGGATTGAATAGATTCTTGTGTAAACAAATAGTTTGCGGCAAAAGGTGGAAAAAAAGTCCAGCTTGGTCTGGATTTCACAACCCAGATGAAAACAAAAGGGCTTGAAGGGCGGTTTAAAGATAAAGTTTCCACTTTTATCCAAGCCGCCCATTGCAACTGCCCCCAATCCTTCAAATTGCACTTTTCCTATTGACAACAAGCATTTTAGCTACTTCACACATAATGATGCAGTTCTTACCCCCAGGACAGACTCACTCATGAATAGCTTGGCTTTCAGGCCCATATGAGCCAGTAATGAATACCAGAGACACACACACAAACAAGACCGCAATAGAAATTAGACAATAGAAGAGGATTACACAACTTTTGGTCACTAAGCCAGTTGATAATATCACTACAGGAACCATGGAGAACCAAACGAGTCTTGGTACACGCTGTAATGGCTCACCCATGATCTCAGCACTCAACAACCAAATCACTTGTGAGACTGAACGAGAAAATCTATTCAGGAGAAAACGCTTTATTGTAGAAGCTTTGCTTGTTTATCCAGATGACACAGTGGAGAAAGTCTGTGGTGTTACACACTGTACAATGACATTTACAGAGTTATGGCCGGACATGTATTTGACACTTGATTATTTGCTGCAGGCTTGAATCCATTCCTGAATGAAACACCTTTAAGAAGAAAACAACTGATGAGTGTGTCATATGAAACACCTGTCCCCAACTGGTAATACATCTGCAATAGAGGAAAGAGCGCTTGATTGAATCAGGTCTTTGCACTCCAGTTTTATGGCAACTCTATTGCCAAGATAGTGTTTACTGAGAAGAGGCAATACACTAAAAAAATCTGAGTTTTCCCATTAATAAAACGTCTGCCAAACAACAGCATTACCTGAGGTTACGAGCGGAGGTATATGTTTTAAAATGCCTTACCAGTTGTTGGTGTGTGAGCCCTCCAAACAAGCTGTCGTGTCTTAAACTTACAACACTCCTCTGTCTGAAATGTAATAGAGTTCAAAATGTACCGCACACAGAGTAAAAGTCTGGTTACCAAGTTACAGAACACAATGCTGCAAATGAGAATCTCCATACAGAGGAATTTCAAATATGTATTTGGCCGTGCATAGAAACTGAATTTGTGTTCTGAGGTTTGCATTTGAATGTTAGTTTAATGATCAATACAATGCACTGTGGGCAGGTGTGACTCTAAAAAAAACAAAAGCATAAGCCATTTTTTATGGCTTAAATGATCTGCGACTCCAATGTGTGGTTTATTTATTTTTATTTTTTCCTTCTTAAAACAGCCATATTCTGTCCCCCTGACCTGGACGACTACCCGAGCAGCATACTTTCAGGATAGTTCACTTCAAACTAGAGCTACTTTGCAGCAAGTCCTGTAGATGTGGCTTTTCACCAAATTTTAATACCAGTGTGATACGTAAGGTAGTCTGGAGGTAATTTCCTAAAGGGGTCATGCACCTGGGCCCTACAGTACACTTGTGAACCCTGCTTAACAGGAAATCTAAGACGCTTAGAACACTAATGCCCAAATGGCCTCAGGTAGCTACAGTGGCAACAAAGAGCCTTTAAAACGCTTGTCTGAAAACTGGCCAGAAGTGTAAAAGAAATCTAAATGACTGCAAATTAGTTGTTTTTTTTTTAAATTAAGAGGCACAGCACAATACGGCTTTTTTAAGATTTAAAAGGATCGAGACAGTTGCATAATTAAAAAAATAAAATATTTTTACTTAGAATTTGCTTAAATTAATGAGCTGAAAAGATATGTGACAGTACAAATATTTAGTAAACATTACATACTGTACACCACTAGTAAATCCCTGCAAAGGATATAACCCTCTTATGAGAGGAAAAATAAACAATTCAATTTGGTTTTTAGGAGCAGAGGCAAAGAGCTCTGTTGTTGACAGTTTATTGTTCTCCCACACAAAGGAGCAGACCCCTCTGCCAATCCACAGGCGCCTCACTGAAAAATAGAAACCACGTGCAAAGGACGAGAATTTAAAGGTATTTAACTAAAACTGAAAGAAATAAAATAATGAACAGGCATCAAACTCCCAAAGCAAATATCCCTGCGAGCCCTAAGCACTGCTGGATACTTTTAAAATCCTGTTTTTGATGGGGAATGTAAATGACTTTTTATGATTTCAATGGAATTTCCTCATTTCATTCGTTTTCTTAATTAATTGACTTTTTTTTTTAAAGGTATTGACATCTATTTTTTTTAATATATATTTCTTTAACAAACTGACATTCATCTGAAGACACGTGGATTTCCTCCCTTTAACGTTTACTTGAGAACATTAAAATTCAGGATGCCTTTGCAACAGATCTACACCAATTGCACATTGTTCACGAGTCCATCACACTGAGAGTCCCGGCTTAACAACAAGACATCAAAGCCAGGTGTCAGCAGCCTTTGAGGTGCGGAAGTGCGGAAAGTTTGTCGACTTTTCCCAAAGCAGCGGCATTTTCGACCCCTTTTAGCCACTCTTTGCATTTCCTTACAACAGTCTCATCCACATCCCCGTCCTCGTCTTCATACTCCACATCATCGTACTTGTATTGGTCATTCAGCAGAGATATTTTAACGATGGCGGTGATGTCCTGCTCCGCGCTCTCTGCTTTGGCGGCCGGCGCGCAGCCCTTGGACCCCCCGTGCGTCTTTTTGGATGGAAAAACTCGCCGGTGCCGAAAATCGGTGCCGGCGCAACACTTTTGTTGCTTTGCCATCATTTGTTTTTCTAGATTCCGTTTTTGGATGACAAGAATGGCTTCGGGGGTGAGACTGAGTGTAAATTGAATTTCCTTCTTCCCTTCCTCTTTTCCATTGAGTTGTCTCGTGGAGTCCATGGAGCTGGAGCGCCTGACTCCTTCAGATGAATCCTGAGGTTTCGGCACCATCAACCACGAAGACTTTCCCTGGGTCTCTTGCCCGGCACCGGGCTTCTGAGTGGGGCTTTTATTTTTGTCCTGCTGGGGTTTTCGCCCCAAGTTCCTTAAATTCGCCGATGCCCAAGATGTGGGTTGTTTCTCCTTATCCGACCCCCCTCTCTCTCCGCAGGATTTGCTGGTTTGCTCAGGAGGCACTCCGTTGGCTTTCTTTTTCCCGAATAGTTCCCTGCCAGGCGATGAGATCCGCTGGTGGAGGCTGATGGGTGGAAAAGGCATCGTTGTGTCTGGAAGTGGTCAGGATATAAAAGCGTGCAAATTATTCTGAGTGCAGAAGAGGAAGCCCTGCGTAAAGCGACGACCGGCGCTCTGCGGGCATAATCCAACAGACAAGGTGGAGGGGGTTGCGTTGCACCTGTTGTCCGCGCTGACTGGAGTTCAACTGGTTCACACAAGGCAGCCCGGCCGCTTTATGCAGGAGCCGGCAGGAAGGCGTGGCAAGAAGCGCCAAACAAAGCCGTGAAAAAACTGATGATGTCATTTCATAATTTTCAACAACTTCCTCAAACGATGAGCCACATCCACCCAGAGTTCCCCTCATCTCCTGTCACAGCGCCTCTCTGCTGCTTTCCAGTTACTGGATCCATTTCTCGTGCATTATCGTACCCATCATAAGCTTTTCAGGACATAATGAGCCTGAAAACTATGAGTCATCATTGAATGTTTTTCACAAAAGTGATGCCGTTAAAGAACTAAATTTCAACCCAGTAAAAAAGAATTATAAAGCCGAAAAAAAACTTCTTATAACATTTTTAGCCCATAACATCTTTATTTGAAATACAAAACTCAAAAAGTTCAACAACTTCAAAAGTATCAATACTCTGTAATTTATTTGCACTGCCAAAACATACTTGGATGAAAAGAAAGAGAACTTATGGTCATAATCATGAGTTTAGTCCTTGGTGCTCAGATCAGTGTGTCCTTGAACATGTCACAGGAACAATGGCATGCAGTTTCATTGTATCCTTTCAGTAAATATGATCTCAAATGTCAATTATCTGATGTGTATTGACAGTCACTTTTGTTACTCTAGCCATGTAGACTATGAAATAGCATCTCATAGGATACACAAATAATCTGCAATATGGATTTTTCTTTGTCCTTCTTTGCTTCTATCTGCACTTTCTGCCAGGCAGAAATCAATGAGCCCTTTTGCTAATCTGTAGTTATTAAACGATTTTATATTGCCTGCATATTTTATGGTTCGTGAAACATCTTGGCTTTAAGTCATGCATCAGATGCAGTTGCTCTGGGGATGGGGAAATAAAACTACATCTAAAATGCATGTGTGTTTAATGCTTTTTGAAAATTAACAGTCTTCAGACACTTAGAATCAATAACTGGGACAGCAACTCCCATCACAACACAGGCCAAGTTATTTATTCATCTCTGCAAGAAGACTTAGATTATTAAGCTAAAGAAGACACACAGACTTGTTTAATTTCAGTGCTCGCCGAGGCATGATCGCCGTTCTCTCTGACATAACAACAGATTAAATGTACTGAAGGGGAAACAGTTGGGACGCTAACAGATTGCTGGGGTCAGGGTTCTTCCCATTCATCTTCAAACTTTGGTGTAATCCAAAAATGGCTGCTATGGAAAACCAATCAGAAAAAACAAAGACGACAAACTCATTTCAAAGAATTATTTTATCCCCCCCAAGATTACTTCGAGAGGGATTTGCTGCGTCTCTGCCAAGTCCGATAACAATAAGTACTGAGGGGAGATTTCGCCCATGGTAATCCAACAAAAATACAAGTGTCTATACACCCCCCCCCCAAAAAAAACAAAACAAAACCCATAAGCGTAGCAAGAAAAGAAGAGGAATTATTTAATCTGATAAAGCAATTAAGAAAAACAAAAAAAACAACAACAGCAACTTGAGCTGTGCTCTTATTACGTAGAAAAACACATTTTAGTTTAAATGCAAAAAAATGCAAAGGGATCAAGACTGCTGGCCCAAGGAGCTCTAAAAAGCAGAAAGACCTTTGTTAGTAGTATGTGAACATCTGCACCACAAATGGGGGTAGGAAAAGGTTATGAGTGTTCTGGAGGAGGTTGTCATGACAACCACATCCTCAAAGGCTACACCATCACGCTGAAGCGGTATAGGGGAACATGATGCCAGCTATATTGGGTTATTAGGTCACGTAAAAAAAAAATCACAATGCTCAGAAAAGCGTAATTAACTGGGTCACTGCTACATCTGGCAGGAAATCAACCTAAAAAGGAGAAGCATTTTTAACATGATTTCACATGATGCACTGAAGATTGAGTGCTTTTTAAATTCTGTTTAGCTGTAGAGAAAAAAAAAAAAAAAAAAAAAAAAATCATATTTCAGGCATTATCAGTGAAGCAGTGACACAATTGCCAAGGGGAAAACAGCAACATGGAATAGCATCTCAGAGCCTCTTTGCGCGCGCGCACACACACACACACACACACACACACACACACACACACACACACAGAGAGAGACAGAGAGAGATAATGCTCTGACAACGTTTGCATGTAGGAAGCCAGATGACAATTAATTTGTATACTGCTCAAAATGCAAATATAGAACCCGACTTAAATTTGAACTGGTTTCTTCCTGCTGCATATAATCAGAAGGCACTTTTGTTGTATTTGACCACATACCAGACTCAACATCAGTTTCTGCACTTAAATGGCATAAATACACTCAGAAAATTCAGGAATATTTTTAAATATATTAACCATTAAAGGCACCCATTACTCATGTCAAAAGCAAAAGACTGATACCTATTATCTGGTGATAGTTATAGACCTTTAGCTACACTTAAAAAGCAAGACTTCACAGTATGAAAGCCATAATAAAAATTTGGAAATATAATGTATATACAGAATCATGTATATTTTACAAAGCCTCTTGTTCGCAGTTTGCATATTAGGACCAGTCTTGATAGGAAACTGTAGACTTTGGAGTCCTAACTCAGACAGGTCGTGAAGCACTTGATCACAGCATCCCTGTCAAAACAAATAAAAGAGAGAAACAGAAAAAAGGCAATTAAGAAATGAAAGGAAAAACTAAATATAGCAAAGACAAAATTCTGCCATGCGTACAAAATTAAAAGCAACAATGAGTCCATTTTTACGATGATCTGGGTGGGGCTCATCATGAATAAGTGAGCGTGTTTTGGCGGGGAGGGACCACATGCTCAGAATGATGGGGGTCTTCCTTTTCTTTTTTTTCCCCAGGTACACCAAGTTGAAGGATGATGCAATGCAATCCATCACCATGGCGACCACAGATCGTTGCCTACTCTATTTCGCTTCACACAGTTTGTTCTTGCCATCAGTGGTTGCTATGCAGACTTTGCCTGCAGACACGTTCGAAATTGGAAGGAGGAGGTGCGAAACCATTCAAGGTTAAAAGAACAAGGGGGATCATGAGCAGTCTGACAGGGAGGAGGGGAGGCCGCTGGAGAGAAGGGTTGCTTTCTTAAATGCTTTGGTTTTTATCAAAAAAAAAAAAAAAAAAAAAAAAAAAAAAAAAAAAAAAAACTAAAAAAAAACCCCTAAAAAACAAAGAAACCAACCTCTGTGTTTTTAAAAATATATCACTTAAAGCTTATTGTCATTTCCACTGCATAAATAAATTATCAGTCTCAAGGGCTTTCCCCAATTTCTGATTAGATGTCTGAGCCAAAAGCAGCCTTAAAGTGGTGTGGGACGTGCACAGGCAGCAGGTTTTAGTATCTCTCTCTGCATGTGTGAGGGGATATAAATAGGAAACAAGGTAAAATACATTAAAGGATCAAGTCTACTGGCCATGTGTTATGGCAGTGGCCAGCCAGGTATCGGAGACTGTTGGAACACAGACAGGGATGGGAAGTACTATAGCATTGTGTCACCCCATAAAATCGTGAGATCAAAATATGCAGAAACAACTTAAAACAACAGAGGCCAAAGCAATCAAGTCTAATCCATTTTTCATTTAATTCAAAGTAAGAGGCTTAAGGAGACAGAACACAAATGTGTTGACAAATAACATAAGAAACGCAGCAGTAACAAAGAAGCAGCTGATTGGCAGCATTTTAGTATCAAGACCAAAAAAGAAACAAAGCCCGGCCATAAAATTTGCATTCCTCTACAGGAATTTGTTTTTTGGGGAGTGACATGGGAAAAGGTCTTTGTCTAGGCCTCGTTTTGTTGTTAGCTTTTGGGCTGGGGGAGGGGGAGCTTGAGGTTGTTAAAAGGACGTCCCTCAGCTGTCAGGATGGATTATAGGGTCGCCCAAACACACAAGATACTTAGTGGGTGGGGGCTGCATGGGGGCTCTGGACCAAATGAGCTATAACCCAACTTACATCTGAACTGACAAAACAACATCACACCTCATGCCTGGCCTGGAGGTAAAGCACTGAGGTGGTACAGCATATGGCACCAAAGTGAACACTTTTGGTACAGTGGAGAATTTTTTTGCTTTTACAGAAAAGCTGCAAAACATTAAGACACCTGTGACAACGACTTATGACACTGCAGGCTTTTTGTCTTTGATGCAGCACAGCTTAGCCAGATCTAATCAAAAATTTGCATTGTGCCTTAACCCTGTAAAGCTTAACACAAGCTCATTATATGCAACGTAAAAGCTACATTAAGGAAAATATTTTTGGCAAATCAGATTCAAGGAGCATTATTTCATTTAGAGAAAAAAAAAAAAAAAAAAAAAGCTACTTAATTTTGATATTATGGATTTAGCAATGATGTCACAGCACTAAAGCATGGAGGGTGTGAAAACAACAGGCTGCCATTTGTTTGACACCAAGAGCCTACACTGATCGTACTGGGGGATTAGAGCCATATGGTGGACGCAAACAAGAGAAAGACGTAAATAAAAAACAAAAAAAACAAAACATGTTTTCATTGAAGGGTCATGCACGCCAGAGAGTACGAGCACATATCCATATATCAAGGCAAAGCTTGCAAAGTTTAATCCTGTCATCTTACCTGGCAAATGGAATATAAGAGATGCTATACCTGAAAGAGAAGAAACACACAAAAGGATGAGGGAAAATACTGGTGATGGTGGGATATTTTTAGGACAGATATTGATTGTAGAAGAAGATACTAATTACGAATGAACTGTGCATGTCATGTACCAGTTTAAGCAGATTACCTGTATTTAAAGTCCTTTGCATTAGTATTCACCTACTGATGAAGAATGAATGAATGTGTCCCTTAACTCATTTTAAATTTGATTCAATGTTTACATTTATTTTATTATTTAAGGCCACTACAACAAAATACGTTGAACTAGTTGTCCTGTAAATTCCTTTTTAAATCTTTCCAGGAACTGAAATCTGATACGATAATGCTTATGACAAAGGTTCTTTTATATCACTTAGCAGTTTTATCACAGTCCCTCTTCCCCGTTCTTTTCCTTTCCCCCTTTCTTTCTCTCTTTTCTTTTCCCCAGTCAAGTCTGTGCCGTGTTCAGCAAATGAAAATAAAATAAACAATCAAAGCAAAGGTGAATCAAATAGACCAATAAGGCAAGGCTGGGATGGTCCATTTGGTAAAGTAAATCCGTTGGGCATCTTTCTTTGCCTTTAGACAACAATTCTGATTGCAAAAGAACCAAATGGGACAGACAAAAAAAACAAAACAAAAAAGATCACTTAGCAGTGATTAACAAAATGTAATTGGACATTAATTGGACATACTGTAATCTTTGTACAAATAATTGTGGACAGAAAGGTAGCAGGCACACTTCTGAAACAAACACAGAACCCTATCCAGGAAATGATCACGGCTAAGGTTCAGCTTAATAGATTCCTGATGAAACCAGTGATGTATTTTAAATATGTGAGGAATGCACTGACACTGTTAAATAATCAACTAGAGCGCAAACATGAGCATACCGACAAGCATAACGACAAGAATCCCCATCTGTCTTAAGCAGAGCTGTAACAAATATAACAAGCAGTGTAACACACTTTTACACGTGAATCTTCTGACTATCTTAATTTAGTTAGAGCAAAGAAGGATGTTTAATAACAAAACCATTGTAACTATCCTGAGCTTGTGACAGTCAGTTGTGGTTGAGGATCATATGGTCATTTCACAGAATTCAGCCCAAGGACTGGACTTTGACCCCATCTGTGCGGGTCAGTGGCGACGTCTTATTACGGAACCACCTTCGCACAGACGTCTGAGTGGCTGCGTGGGAGTGCACTATGCCCCCAGTCTGTTAAGAATGAGTTCTGGATGTGTGACTTGTGGTTTCCATGGTGATGCCTTTGAGAACGCAGGCAGAGCGGAAATGAATGTACGACATGTAGGTGTAAAAGCAGTGTGATTGTAAGGCTGACACAGGCTATTCCCTTCCTCCATAGTTCCTACTGGCTTGTTTTTCCATGCAGTCACACACACTGTCTTTTGTTACTGCTGTGCAAATATGTTCAAATAAGTGAACGTACAAATTACTGACAGGCTAATCCATATCATTCATTCACGACTAAGGTTAAGCTTAATTCCACTGACTGTGTGGATGTCAAATAAAAGCTCAAATAGCTTGTAAGCTTGATATACATTTAAGTCAATTTAACAACAGGCTAAAAAACTTAAGCAATTCATCCGTTTGCAAAATTACTGAGAACTTCTTTTAAGCTCTGCAAACTAAAAAGGCCAAATATTATAAAATGCTCTAGTAAAAATAACATTACCCTCAGACGAAAAAGATTCATGACTTATGAAGATTTTAAATGTAAAAAGGAACTAAAAAGAAGAAGAAAAAAAAAAACTGCTTTAAAACATTTGAGTAAAGGACATGCAGTTAAATGACAAAAGAAATTGTGGACATTGTAAATAGACATTATAAAGTCACAGTTTTTAAAACACTATAACTTATAAGTGAAAGATGGGTTGTTTAGCTCTTTGTGTTACACACTTAGCATAAGAACAGATAACTAATTAAGGACTAATAGGTGCCATGTATTCTCCCTGGACTGTTCACATGTAGTTTTCATTATAGTAATGACTCCACAGAGAGCTGGCAGCCACTTCGTGTTGTGTGTAAACAATCCATGCCTGTCTGCCCAAACCCCACAGCTAAATAGCACTACACGATCCTGCCTTCTTCTTTACAGGGCAAACATACGCTGACCTACAATCAGGCATGGCCTCTTGCCCATCAGTCTTATTACAACACCTTTAATTGTAACCTGCATTTCAAACAGATGTCACTGTCTGCTCTGGCAAACTAGGGTAAACCAATTTAATCAATATACTTGGATTGTGCTTGCTATCATTTTGCCCTGAACAATAAAATCCAGTATAGCTTGGCTAAAATTAAGTGTATTCGCCTTTACACTTTTAGCCAAATATGTGGCTCACTTACAGATGTATCTACAAATACTATAAAATAAACTTATGTTGCGATTTCAACATAAGTATAACATAAAATAAGAGCTAGGGTTTCTAAGCAAACTGTTGGATGTTAATGAGTTATTCATTGCAAGTGTCAGTGGTCTGAGGCTGATCACTGTAGGTGTGAATAATGAACAAACTGTACTGAAATGGTTTAGACTACTAAGTCATCCTTACCACGTCATTGCCAGAAACTGCAGAATACAGAAGATTATGGCCAGTCCCTTTTTACCCCACTGTAAAGTCAATAAAAAAAACAATTTTAATAACTACTTTAAATTAATAACTGCAAACTGATTTGTTTGTATTGAAACATACTTACCCAAAACACTGAACAAAGCGTTAAGACCAGGCAGAGCTGTAAGAAGAAAGGAGAGATCAGCTTGCATAAACTTTTTGCTTGCTTGTACAAAGTTCAGTTTTAATTTCTCTCTATTTTCAACCTATCAGAAAAACAATGTAAAAAAAAAACAAAACCCCCAAAACATTTAAATGTTACTCAAGAAAACATCCACACTGTCAAGGTGAAATGTGTTGTTAAGTTACGTTACTCATAAACCACCAACTACTGTAAGTGGAAGTGCAGTGCCTTGCATAATCTAAGTCAAAATAGTAAAACACAGTATTTACCAGCACAACAATGGTTGCTATCAGTCGTGTTGGTTCAAACATGCGCTTCAACTGTTTTAGTGGTCCCATTAGGAAGCAGGTGCTTTGGGAGAACAATAAAAAAAGTAGATGGATTAAGCTCAGTAAACAGGTCTGTTATAGCTGTGGTTGTCAAACAAGCAGAGGAAAAACTTCACACCCTCAACGCATCACTTTTGAACAATATAGAAGTTTAAGCTAAGAAAACAAACAAAAAGCTCAGTTTCAAGCCTTCCACTGCAACAGTCACACTGGCTCATCTGCATTTGCCTCCAAAGGCAGCGTCAGTTTATCAGGACTTCCAGTTTAACCACTCTACTTTAAGACTTCCAGTTTGGTCAACAATTACAACTACAGATGAGTAAAAACTGATAGCTCATGTCACATGATAGCTGATTGTTTTGATTATGTAAGTGTGGTCCTTAAGCACTGTATACCTGCATTCACTGAGGCTTGCTGATACAGTGGGGCAAAAAAGTATTTAGTCAGCCACCGATTGTGCAAGTTCCCCCACTTAAAATGATGACAGAAGTCAGTAATTTGCACCAGAGGTACACTTCAACTGTGAGAGACAGAATGTGAAAAAAAAAAATCCATGAATCCACATGGTAGGATTTGTAAAGAATTTATTCGTAAATCAGGGTGGAAAATAAGTATTTGGTCACCTCAAACATGGAAAATCTCTGGCTCTCACAGACCTGTAACGTCTTCTGTAAGAAGCTTTTCTGTCCCCCACTCGTTACCTGTATGAATGGCACCTGTTTGAACTCATCATCTGTATAAAAAACACCTGTCCACAGCCTCAAACAGTCAGACTCCAAACTCCGCCATGGCCAAGACCAAAGAGCTTTCGAAGGACACCAGGAAAAGTATTGTAGACCTGCACCAGACTGGGAAGAGTGAATCTACAATAGGCAAGCAGCTTGGTGTGAAAAAATCAACTGTGGGAGCAATCATCAGAAAATGGAAGACATACAAGACCACTGATAATCTCCCTCGATCTGGGGCTCCACGCAAGATCTCATCCCGTGGGGTCAAAATGATCATGAGAACGGTGAGCAAAGATCCCAGAACCACACGGGGGGACCTGGTGAATGACCTGCAGAGAGCTGGGACCAAAGTAACAAAGGTCACCATCAGTAACACACTACAACGGCAGGGAATCAAATCCCGCAGTGCCAGACGTGTTCCGCTGCTGAAGCCAGTGCATGTCCAGGCCCGTCTGAAGTTTGCCAGAGAACACATGGATGATACAGCAGAGGATTGGGAGAATGTCATGTGGTCAGATGAAACCAAAGTAGAACTTTTTGGTATCAACTCAACTCGTCGTGTTTGGAGGAACAAGAATACTGAGTTGCATCACAAGAACACCATACCTACTGTGAAGCATGGGGGTGGAAACATCATGCTATGGGGCTGTTTCTCTGCCAAGGGGACAGGACGACTGATCCGTGTTAAGGACAGAATGAATGGGGCCATGTATCGTGAGATTTTGAGCCAAAACCTCCTTCCATCAGTGAGAACTTTGAAGATGAAACGAGGCTGGGTCTTCCAACATGACAATGATCCAAAACACACCACCCGGGCAACAAAGGAGTGGCTCCGTAAGAAGCATTTGAAAGTCCTGGAGTGGCCTAGCCAGTCTCCAGACCTCAACCCCATAGAAAATCTGTGGCGGGAGTTGAAAGTCCGTGTTGCTCGGCAACAGCCCCAAAACATCACTGCTCTCGAGAAGATCTGCATGGAGGAATGGGCCAAAATACCAGCTACTGTGTGTGCAAACCTGGTAAAGACCTATAGTAAGCGTTTGACCTCTGTTATTGCCAACAAAGGTTATGTTACAAAGTATTGAGTTGTATTTTTGTTATTGACCAAATACTTATTTTCCACCCTGATTTACGAATAAATTCTTTACAAATCCTACCATGTGGATTCATGGATTTTTTTTTTCACATTCTGTCTCTCACAGTTGAAGTGTACTTCTGGTGCAAATTACTGACCTCTGTCATCATTTTAGGTGGGGGAACTTGCACAATCGGTGGCTGACTAAATACTTTTTTGCCCCACTGTAAGTAATTGGCCAATGGAACTTTGCCAACAAGTGGACTACAAAACGTAAACCAGATAACTGCCCATCAGGTGGCCATGCTCCACAGATACTCTCGAATTATGAATCATTATTATAATTATAATTTGCCTTCATAGCATTAAGTAGTCATTTCCCCTCCCCAGTGATTTTCTGCAGTGCAGCAGAGGCTGAATACAATAAATATGTAGTTGCTTTCACAGCCATCTTGAATTGCATTTTGGGGGTTATGAGGCTTTGGTAGTAACAACTGTAGTTGTTAACTGATGGGCAGCTGCTCACTGAAAAGAGTAAATGGGCAGAGATGTGTCTGCAGTGGAAAAGCAGTACATGTAACCGTCCAAGCCTAAAACGTTGATAGAAAAAGTTGACAAAACAAACAAATGTATAAATACTGAAGGGTTAAAAAAAAACAAAACAACCCCCGCCCCCCCACAATCTCAGGGAAGTCCCAAACTAAATTCACAAGAATGGGACAGATCCCTTTTGTAAACAAACTGGTTCCCCACAACATGAGTAATACACTGACCGCATACAGCACAGTATGAGTAACATCTGAAAAACGTGACCAACAAAATCAAATTTGGACTACATGTGGCAATAATTACAGTTTAAATGTTTCATTCCCAACACTTAAGACCTCCTACATGATGCATGTGTTACGTCAGTGAATTTAACAAGACAAAGGCTTTCCCCACTGACGAGGCACGCAGCTTTGGGCTCAGCTGAGCTGAGTGGGCAGAGGGAGTCCGTGGAGCGTCACATCTGTTAGATGAGACACAAGAGTAATGTGGGCTGACGCAGGCTCTCTCTGCTGGTCTGTTGAGAGGGAGGCTTTTTTTTCTCTCCTCAGAGTGTCAAAGACACTAATGATTGGCGCACATGCTGGGAAAAAGATCTGGCACCTAAAAGAGTGTGTCGCTGACTGTAAAACTGATCACGTAATTTTAACACATTAGGTGTTAAGATTTTGGCAGATCACTGAATAGACATTTGAAATCAGAGTTTAAGCTAAATTGAGCTTTTGTTGTGTTACATAATTGTGTTCTTTTGTCATTAAAACACAGCACATAGTGCCTCCTGTTTTCATACCTGTGGCCGTCAAGAAGAAACCAGCAGCATACCGTTTTTATAAAGTAGGTTAAGCTCTGTAAAATAATATGATACTCTTTTGCACTGGACTGTTAACCTGAGCTATGAAGAAGGTGACCTAGTTTCTTGATGCATCTAACCTTCTGGATATTTAATACCTGAAAACAGAGACTGTACAGTCTGATAACAATCACCAAATCAAGCGTTCAGTGTCTGTCAAAAGAAGTCAAAGACATTACTGTAAGATTTAGACCTTAGTTCACCTACAAATACAAATCTAAATGTTGTAGATCTGGTGACATCTATAAAGATACATTTCTAATCTTGAACTTTATATTGAGTTTTTTTCGCCTACATTGCTGGTGATTTTTAAGAAGGGGGTTAGTTTAGATTTCTCTCTACTGGAAAGTCTTGACTTAACTATGTGAAGGTCCCCAAGATGATCCATTTATAAACTGGTACCGAATAAGTAAAACTAAAGTTTTAACCACACTTTGCAAGTTTGGTTCCCTGTGACAGGAAAGAAAACAGCTGTTTGCTCCTATACAAAGAAGGAGCTCATTTACTCACATCCTCCTATTTTAAAAAAAGACTCTAGAGGAGACACACAGCTATGCTGCCCCTGCTCGTCTGTGTGGGAATCCTATCCTGTAGGTAGGATGTAAACTGCAAACCCCTCTGAAGCTCTACGAATTAACTTATGTCAGAACCTGATGTACACCTTGCCTACGTAACTGCACAACACTTTGATGCAGCTCTTTTGCAGACCTCCGCTGACAGCTCCTATGCATTCCAGCTTTTCACCGCAGTTTTTTTTAATTTAACAGTTAGAAGAATAATATTCATGGCCTGAAAATAAGGAATAATTATAACAGTGTCAGTAAGGACTCACAGATTCCTGGGTGAGTGCAACATAACCAGGTTATCTGGATTCATTTACCCTAACATTGGCGTTCAGGATAAGTGGTCAAAAGAAGCTAGTTCTCCAACTCACTAAATTAACCCAGGGTTTCCCCTGCATGTTCACATGAAAGGAGTGATGTTGGCAGGATCTGACCAATCTAAAACGGGTGTTTCACAGATCTTAAGAATCTTCTGCGAGAGAAAATGCCACCCACTCTAGAGACTTTAGGTGATTAACAATCTATAAAGAACATCTATGTAAACACCAGTAAAATATGAAAGATGAATGCTGTAGAAAATCATTAATCTGGTGATTTAGCATACAGAGCAGTAAAATAAACATTCTAACTCCAGTCAATTATTTTATGGCTGAGTACATTTTCTGTACTGGTTTTCACTCCTAAACTGATAACTAAAGCATTGAAAGTTTAAACTGGTCTACTTATACGTTTACAATATCAGCAGAGAATCTACATTATACTTCAAATATGATGCTGGTAAAAGAATCAGTAAAAACAAGGCAGCCCCACACCAATGACCTGGGGCCCGTTCTTCGTACGTCGCTTACTACATCCAAGATCAAATGACACATCCAAGATCAAATCATCGCGCTAACCGTGAGCTCGCTAATCCGGTTCCCCGAACACACCTGCTGTTGACGATTAGTACAGCTGGACGCAGTAATGTGACATCACTGGGTGTCGTAAAAGGGGCTACACATCGATAGTAGAAACATTGATCGGCAACCCTCTGATTGGTCGGCGAAAATGTCGACGGAGCGCGCTCGGCTCGGTATTTTTCGGCAGCAGAGCAAGAACTCTTGAGTGAGGGATTTCAGGAGTTTCAGAGTTTAATCAGAACGCAAGGGAACACTGCAAAGGCTGCAAAAGCAAGGAGCGAGGGCTGGCAGAAAGTTGCTGACAAATTAAACTCGTAAGTAATTTAATAATAATAATAATAATAATATATTGGAATTATATAGCGCTTTTCAAGGCACCCAAAGCGCTTTACAATGCCACTATTCATTCACTCTCACATTCACACACTGGTGGAGGCAGCTACGGTTGTAGCCACAGCTGCCCTGGGGCAGACTGACAGAAGCCAGGCTGCCATATCGTGCCATCGGCCCCTCTGGCCAACACCAGTAGGCGGTAGGGTAGATTTATTATATTACACTATATTATCCAATATTATATTACATTATATTATAATATGTTATATTTTATCCTCTGTCACATTAGAGCCACGACAGGACCCACTAGAACATGGGAACAGGTAAAAGTGAAATATAAGAATATCCTACAGAATGGTAATATTTATCACTTATATTGCTTTTAGTCTCTTGGAAAGAGACCCTGGAATAATCTGTTTGTTTATAACAGCAACCAAGAAAAGGGCAGAGCAAAAAAAGACAGGTGGTGGTCCTGCACCCCCTCGTCAACAAGTTGGTTAAGTAAATAATACCCTCACGGGAAAATCGATATCTCTCTATGAGCACACTGAGCTAAAGGATCCTGTCTGTCCCGCAATATACGCTGAATTCTGAGGACTCTCCTTATCAATCTTGCACCTTCCGCAATGGGTTGCTCGCGTATACGGACAGGACATGGCTGCGACAGGCTTCCCAAATCCACCTTCGCTTTTATAGCCGTGGTCTCTCATCTTGATTACACGAAGTAATTTACAATTACTACTCTGAAATATGAATTACATCTGTAATAATCAAATACATGTAATAGAATGTTAATAGTTCATTTCCCTTTTTTAGGAAATGACCTGTATGTATCTGTGTGAAATCAATAAATGGATCAGGTGCTGCATTGTCTTTAGTTACATTGATGTTATTTATTTATGGTGAAACAGTGGTGGAATATCGCTGTTGCTTTCGTATGATGACGCGGACATACCTGCGTGGCCGCGATCTAATCCTGTTTACATAAAGTAAACCTGCTCCCGAGCAGGTTTACGCTTACGGCTCTGTTGCTATGACAGCAAGTCCCGGATGAGCTTCGGGGAACCGACTGATCCAGGATCACGCGAAATCGTCAACAATCTAATCCGGCTAACCTACTTAGCGAGGTACGAAGAACGGGCCCCTGCTCCCAATAGTTTTAGTTTGTATACTCTCAGCAGCAAACTCTGTAGTGTTTCAAGGATTGAGAGTAAATATTAACTGAAGAAATAGAATTCAAATAAAATGGGTACAAATTTGATAAGAGGTCTGAAAGCACAGCGCAAGTTTGCTGTAATAAAATGTGTCTACAAATCTGTATTTATGACTGATGATGGTGAAACTCAAAGACTTTAGAGGTCTTTGAGTTTCAAACACTAAAAGTTGTACAAAGTGCGTTCTTACATACTCAACAGCACAAAAGATTTATTCAGTTCATCCTTGGGTTCAGATTTTGAAAACCTAAAAATGGCTATCAGAGCTGCACAGGCGTGACAACTTTAATAAATGACAATGCTTTCACCAAGATTAGATTACTTGCTTTGTTGCATCAAACTGTATAACTCATACTGACAATATGTAACAATGTCATTCATTATGAGCTGAAAACATCTCATAGTTCTTCAGGCACAGTGTTGCAAACACAGAGCAGCAGGTTATGAATGAACACAAGGACAATGTCACACACACACACACACACACACACACACACACACACACACACACCTTAAAGAATTATAACTGTGACAAGATACTCCAGCCATGAGTGACAATATAACCTTTAAGATGACTTTTTTTTTTTGTTGCTTTCTTGCAGTGTGTCATACTGATGACAAAATGCTGATGATAATACAGTACAATACCAGTAACACTTAAAATTAAACTGGGCTTACCTGGCAAGAGCTGCAATATTCCCTAGTGTGTAAAAGACTGCAAAGAGCTTCAAGCCACTTGGAAGGAACAGCAGTGCTGTGCCCTGGTAAAGAGATTAAAAAAGAAAAAAAATAATTCAGCTACATAAATTCATATCATCATTTTTCAGCAAGGGGTAGGGGGCAAAAATAAACAGATATAATAGCTACTAAGTGAGACCTAGAACTTAACCAGGTTAAAGGGTTAACTGCTAATAACCCGGTTAAAAATCCTGCTGAAAAAAAAGAGAAAAAAAAAAGAAAAAAAGAGCAGAAGTGGCTGTCCTGTGGTTGTACTGAAAAACGTTTGTCTCCCCCTACTGTTAGAAGCCCATAAGGTTGGTTTGGATTATAATAGACTTTAGTACTACTGGACCAGTGCTGCAGTCAGGGGCGTGTCTAAAAGGGGCCATGGGTGGCACTAGTGCTGCTGAAATATTTACTTAATTACTTTTACTAGTACTACGCCGTTTTCTGCTTTTACTCTACTAAATTCTGAATGTGATTATTACTATTCTTATGCCAGACTATCCATTTTAAAGCTTCAGTTATTATTTTGCAGATTAATTACACTATTATATAGTACCAGTCTACCAACTAATAAATAATTAAAATAATCAACAAGTGTATTCATTAGAAAGATATACGCTTCAATACATAAATCATAAATCGAATAATATCATGTAAATAATTCTAAAAAGTGTCATTCCCCCCCCACCCCCCCGAGTACTTTAAATATATTTGGTTGAACATCATATGAATTATTACATTACTTTAATCTTTTACTTAAGCAAACAGTCGAAATACTTTTTCTATACACGATTCTCATTAAATATTTCCGACTAAACATTCTAATCTCTTGTGCCCCCCTATTGCCACCGCTGCATTCTCGGTCTCCCCTGTGAAGCCCAATTAAAAAAAACAACAACATCCTGGAAACACCCCTGGCTGCAGTCCAATTGTAAACAGAGCTTATGTTTAGCCATAGGAAGAGATTATAAAACACTAATATATTTCTTTTGATAAGTTGTGAGGGTTTCAGCCTTATCTAAAGTTATGATTAATAATTTTAATAAGATAAAATAGTCGGTGGCTCTACAGTGTGGTGGTTCACACATAAGACTAACACATTTAAGATCAGGAGGAGATACAAATCCCCTTTTTGGGGCTGCGTCAGGAAGGTAATCAAATGTGAATAAGGGAGCAGCTGTAAGAAGCTTCTAATAAGATGAAGCAGCTAAGATTCTGGGAAAAAGAAAAAAAAATCTGGATAGATATTCATTCTGGAAAGACACTGCTGCATTTAGTGATATTTATGTAATCAGACAAGCAGCAATAGGTTTGTAAATGTGTATTTTAGTTATTGCTGCAAACACAGTGATGGCTAGCAGTGTGTGAGGAGCCAGAAAATTTTTTTTTTTTTGAAAAAAGGGCATTTAAAGACTTAAATATTACGAGTTTTCATGGCACTAGATTTTCTACAACGATTGTGGTAACTGTGAATGTTACCACCTATAAACAAAACCTGCATTTTACGATGGGTGCGAAAAATGGCAGTGGCTTCAAACTGTTGACAGCAACAGTTGACAGTGCCTTCTCTTCTGCAAGGCTACAAACTGATAAGTAAGATTTATGTACCCGATGTGGGTTACTTAAGTATAAGTGACAGTAGGAGTTGATCGTACTGATCTGCTGGAGTAACAGAGGAAATCGCTTTGGCGGCAGTGGAGGAAAAAAAAAAAGCCTTCTCCACATTCCTTTGGTCAGTATGAAGGCAAAAAGGACACAAAAACATCAATTTTGCCTGACAAATACACTCACAAGTATTGAACACAGGATGCCTCCAGCAAAGCAGATGACAAACCATTTCACCCTGGTGCTGTAGCTGAGAGTGCTGGCATCAAGGACCTGGTGAGAACAATGGGAGGATGTCACAAGACAGACCCAGTGACCTGCAGAAAAAGCCCACGGGCTTCCTGCTAATCAATCATACAGCGGCCACACCACAAACGGAGATTATGCTAGCATATGTTAAGAAATACAGAACATAACTGAAGTAGAATCTGCAAAGAATAAAAAACAAAAGCAGGAAAAAAGTGTAGAATACAAAACACCAATAAACTGACTTCGAAAGCATTACCTTACCTTATTTCCTCCTTATCGTGAACGCGTGAAAAAGAGGTACAAATAAATACACATGACTCAGTAAAGTTAAGTGCTAACAGAAAGTCAAGACAGCTGGCTTTAAACGGCCAGAGGACGCTAGTTAACCGGAGCTAACACAAAATAGCATTTTTTCATTATTAACTGCTACAAGCCGCTAACTCAGTGAATATAAAATCGCATGCAGACAACGGTATCTTAACATTAGCTCAGAATTTTAAACAGGCAGCGAAAGCGATGCTTTATTATTAGGCGTTTGAATGTTATCCGTTCTCTTGACAGTCCGTTAGCATTAGCAGCGTAGCCTGTCAAGCAGTTCCTACCTGTGCAGTGAGACCCAGTTCCTCGTTGTCTTCTCGACCGCTTAGCACACGACGAAGCTTGTCCATCGCTACGAGCTAGCTGGCGAACTGGCCAGAAAAAAAGTGGACCCTTGTTCTCTTTTTCAGACTGTAACCTATGTGGTTTATACCCACAACTGTTATCGCAGCTGTTGTAAGTTTGACTTCCTGTGTACTACCCTTTGTACGTACTGACTTGGGGTCGGTTTAATTGCAGTCAATTTGCTACCATTTCCGGGGCTGGCATTTCTATCACTGACCCCAGATCAGCTCAAAGGCGACTTCCTTAACGCCACTTCCTTTGAATTGCTACTGTTGCCTCTCCGTAGCTGATTGGTTAGTAATACCTCAAGGACATTTCTGATCCTGTTTAATTATTTTGTTTTAAAACCAACACGAGAAACACAGATTTACAGTCACATAAATATATCCAGTATTAGCGAAGGATTTCTGGTCTGTTCCCTGAGAAAATGCGCTCTTACTGTTTTTCTCAATGATGTTGCTTTGTCGCCACCCAGTAGAGATATTACGACAGTGCAAAAAATACAATTAAATAAAACAAACAACAACCTGGCACTGTCTTCCCAGCAGAGAAGCCAACGGACCTTCTTTGGTCGTCGCACTGGTTTATCTTGTGGAAAGAGTGCTTGGAATTAAGTCCATCAATAACTTTAGCATTAGTTCAACCATGCCCAAAAGAAAGATCATCCGACACGTTTCACTGATTGAGCAGTTAAGTAAGGAAACTTTTAAAAAATACACTGATTTTTAATTAAATCCTACGCTTTTCGCAGATATGTCTCCATCAAAAATTTTGTTTGAACAAGTGGAGTTTCAAATACCTTGTTGTTATGCTCAGTTTTCAAACAGCCATCTAGATCATTACCATGTTTCTAATTTAATATATACTGAATATACTCTTTCAGTATAACGACTTAAAACAGGTTGTGTTTCAAGGCTACACAATGTTGCCTTGCCTTTATCAGCAACAGCCCTATAACGGGCGCCAAACGAGATACAGTTATGGGAGGCTTCTGACTATGGGTCACACTGTTCTTCCGAGGGACACAGTCATCGACTTTGGATCTTTATGTGCATGCCAAACGAAATCTTCATTTTAACTATCCTAAAATACACTCCAATTACAGACACAAGGGTTAGCAAACTCAACAGTGAGGGAAAAGTGGCTCTGAAAGCATCCAATCACAGCAAAACCATTGCCAGGGGAGGAAGATAATTGAACATCAAAGGTTATTGTCTCTTGGATGTTTGCGGTTTACTTTCAGATACTTTCTCATTACGCCAGTTTAGCCTACATCTTAAACGATACACCGTCACAATGATCTACGTATGTTCTTTTAACCAAGGTCACTGCTGCAAGTCTAACTGGGGATCCAGATGATTGTGTTTACAAGCAGATGTGCTCATAGAAAACGTATAAATCCGGTAATAATGTATCATGTAATGTAGTTGTTAAAAACGTCTGCGCTCTGTTTTGGGGTGCTTTAATACGCAATCATGTAACCTTACTTAGAATAGACATAATAATGAATCGTCATCATAAAAAGAAAAAAAAATTACAGGGCTCAACTTTGCGATCACGTGTCACTTTCCTTTTCGGATGCTTATAAAAAATCTCTTTGCGACACAAGAGCCACTTGATAGGAAGCTGGAGGTCAGGTGATTGAGATTCAAAGCGCGATTAAAGGGAAGCAACTTCTTGTTGATGAAGGGACATTCAGTCGACATCTCAGCTTCTGCGAAGTGTTCCAGAAAGCACCAACGATGTGGACATCGCCGTCAGTATCCCTGCTCCTGTTCGTCTCATTGTTCCATGGATGCAGGAATTTCGTGTGCCCGAGGATCTGCCGATGTTTCTCCAATGCAATCAGGTGCAACAATATAACACAAGGGGCAGCTCCAGTGATGGACCACAGGGATAGAAGATTGTAAGTTGGCAACATGTGGAATAATGCGTTTACAGGGTGGATCTTTTTTTCTTTTTTTTTAAGGCAGCTAATTCGTGTGATTAAGCAATTGCCATTATTATTCCGCGCGTATTTATGCACGGGGCTAAGATCCGCACTGAAACGTCTTTCTTGTTTAGCTCTGCTGTGCTGTTTGTAGAGTTAACAGTGATCAAATCACGCTTCATCACATTTTTAAACCTGTTGTAAGTGGCCTTAATATTGAGCACCCATTTAAAACGGATTTTGGTTCCAGTATTTATTGTACACTTGGGGGGGGGGGGGGGGGGGGGGGGGGGGGGGCTCTCAGGTGTAACCTTTGATCATTCAACAACCATTACCAGTACTCTGGCATAAAAACATTTTTGGAAGCAATCTCTGCACTCTGAATGTATTCCAAATCAGTCTTAACATACAAACATTATTCCAACACTGCATCTAGTTTCACCAAGTGGCAGTATCTTTTTCTTGTTTTCTTTTATCCTCAACTTTAGCCATGGAAGCACTTTGTATGTTTCTAATTTAAGCATCAGTGGTATGATAAAGTCTGCTTCATTAAAAAACATCAAGAACAAAAAAGACCCCATCCAAACATACACACCTGCTCTGTCAGTAGTATTGTGTGCATGCGTTTTCTGGTAGATAAAACAAAGGCCAGCTGTGTTCTTGTTTTCTTGTGCATCTTCCTGTGAGAACTTTTTATGTTTTACATTCAGACCACTCTAAGTCTTCATAATATTGAGAGATAAATCTGGATCGATCCCTACTGGAGAGTGAAGAACGTCTGCTTCCAAGCATGGACTGTATTTATTTCATTTAAGTAGTACATCACACCCTTTTTTCTTTTTTTTAAAAACACAGTCCCCTGCATGTGTCCAGCTTAATTACCGATGAAGCAAATGTCAAGTTGCTCTCACACATTGTGAGTACACCTCTTTTTGTATGCTTTTCTGGACATTACAGCTCACTTGTTGAGTTTACTGTCAAAAGCCTTGAAGGTGGGTAATCTTGACCTCCTCTTCAGTAACAGAGTACACAACACCTTGACCCTCTTGTGATTAACGTCTGTGAACACCAAGGCTGGCAGCTTTGTGTGTCTATCAAATGCTGCCAGTAATTCTATACACTCGCTCCTGGAACTTTCTGTTCTACCAAATTACAACTTCTATTTGTTTATGATATTGACAGACCATTTCTGTTAGCTGGGAATAATGTATATGTTGCAGATGTGGAAATGTTGCTCACTGGTGGGAAGAGAACTTGCTCTATGCTTATTATGAATGCCTCAAACAACCTAAATGGTGCATTTCTGTTAGAGATAAAAAACAAAACTAAAAAAAACAAAACAGTGTGTCCAGACAGGCTGTAAACAAAACCTAGGAAAATTTCGTTCTAATTGAACACTAAATAGTTGCTATGACAAAACCTGTGCCATGGCTACACTTACCTTTTTGTCACAGAGCCTCAGATGATTTTAAGATGTCACTACGTCTCTATTACATCATTAAACTGTCCTCCCAATCTTTTTATGCCTCCTTTCGCAGGTTTCTTTATCATCTGTCTTTGCAAACAATTTCAAGCCATTCCTTTGAAGGTTTAAAAGGAGTCCAGAGGATGTACGTATCACATTTCTTTTGCTGAAAAATTCCGACTCACTTGTGATACTGCTTAAGTGAGGAACAATATGATGAAAATTCATGCTCCAAATATAAGAAGATTTGGGTTTTGCATCAGATAAACTAATTATTGCAGTGTCTCTGCTTTGTTTTTTGTGGCAAATCTCATAAAAATGGTTGCAGTGTGTTTATACTGCACATTAGTCTGACAGTGTGACGTAAATGTTAAGAAGAATCTCACTATTTATTTTCTGCTGTACACAGAGAGATTACTCAAAGCGTAACCCTGAAAACCATTGAGACATTAGCATTTAACAACCTCCTCAGCCTCTCTGAAATGTAAGTCTTTTCTGTGATTCTCCCAGTCCATTAAAGTCACGATTACTGTAGTGCACCCCGGTATGGACTGTATGCTCTGTACTGCTTTGCAGCTCAATCCAGAACACAAGAAGTCTCATGCACATTGGCAGAGGAGCATTTAACAACCTCCCCAAACTTCGCTACTTGTGAGACAACTTAAAATTTATTTATTCATTTGTCAGTTTTTAAAAATTCCTACAGTGCAGTCTGACTTGCAACAAACTTTTTTTTTCATCTTTGTCAAATGAAAGTGACACATTGCTCTTTTTATTTACAGGAGTATTTCAAATACCGGTATTGCAGTTTTTCCTGATGTCACATCAATCAGTTCACTTGAATCTGAGTTCGTCTTGTGAGTAAATTTCTTGTTATATTCATAGAGACTAATACAAAGGAAATCTTCAGTGTTACTGCAAGTCCAGTTTCAACTTATTATTACACTTATTACTATTTTTGCAGGGATATATGCGACAACATCTTCCTTCTAGAAATACCCACAAACGCTTTCACTGGAATGTCAAAGGAATATGTTACAATGTGAGTATTGCAATGTATAGGACACTTTCACTTATTTTGAAATTGTATTATAGCAGTCCAGAAAGTTTGAACATGCAAATGTTTCTTACATTTTCAGGAACCTGTACAACAATGGCATAAGAAAAATACACGAGCATGCCTTCAACGGAACAAAGCTAGATAAGCTGTATTTGTTTCATTTTACCACATTATGTCTAATTTCTGTTTAAAATTCTTCTTTTGCACCATTAAAGTTTTGCTCCTTGTGTTCTGCTATGTTTAGGGTATTAAAAAATAATCAAAACCTTAGAGTGATCCATAAAGATGCTTTCACAGGAGGCACGGGCCCTGGAGTCTTGTAAGTTTTTATTTGTATACTCCTAAAAGTCACTTTGTGCTAAGTTTATTTTGATTTATTGAGGAAAGCTAAAGGAAACCCAGCCAGGGTGGGGGGTAGGGTGTTCAACAAGCCTAGAGCCAACAAATGAGAAGTTTGCGTCAGGGCGGGTATCCGGTGTAGAATCTTTGAAACATCAAATATTGGGCTCATCATGAGGACAGAGCACAAGAGAGGCGAAGAAGAACTTGCAGGCATGGTGGAGTGGGTTGTCAGGAGAGGGCATGGTTGGGACATGTGACAGAAAGATAGCAACAGTGAAAGGGAAGGTTCAGAAGATGGTGATGGCACCATGATGTATAGTTTGGAGATGGCTACTCTGAAAGTTAGAGAGGTAATGCTGAAGTAGTCTGGACATGTGCAGAGGAGGGACAGTGAATATATTGGACAAAGGATGC